ATAATTAGTGTATCGCAGAATAGTAGCGGTTTGTTCAAAACCCACTATGCAATAGCACCGGCGGCCATTACAGCTTCTATTTAACAACAGCCATTAGATAATCATTCAACAATGTAATCAACCAAAGCCATCATAAAAATAAAAATACAAAATCACACAAACTATTAAATAACATATACGTGAATAAATACAATTCCAGACAAGTAAAATGAAGGAGGAACTTACTTTCAGAAAGAAGAAACCAGAGTTTGAACAAAATACTTGGAAAAGAGCCAACATATTTTATTAGTAAACATAATTCTCGCTACTCTATTTACTTTCCAATCAGAGACTTGCTTGGTCTTCTAGATTGTTTGCCAATATCAATGTATCTCCATTCTCAGAAAAGTGCATTGACAACCGTCGAGTCTAAGACTTCTCAACTCCACGTCATCTGCTACACGACATAACTGGTTATCGTCAAATTATGAGGAAAACAGAGACAGTTCATGGAAAGAGCAACATTTGGCTTGACAAGTAGCACTTCAAAGTATCAAAAGGCAAGCAACTTCCTGTGTTCCTGTTAGGAAGCCAAGAATTCTAACATTCAAGATTAGTGGAATGCGTACAATAAACTCAAATGAATAAAGATAAAGATTGCAAAGAGCTGAAGAACTTCTTATTTGTGTAGTGTGATTCAAAGAGAAGATACAACAAGTTTACAATGAAGAAGATAACCTTGCACACAAAGCGACTCCAAAAGAGCACTCACACTCCTTTCACACTAAATAATTCTCTAGTCACAATTTCATTATTCAAGGATATCTTTCCTCTAACCAATGGAAAGCTATTTAAAGATTTTCTAAGAATAACCAAAGTAACAGCTCCTAACAAATTTATCAACTCACTAACTTTTATCTAATATAATTATCCAACATTATTTATCCTAATAGTTTCTCCATTGCCAAACCAACAAATTTACCACAAATTGCTCAACAATAATAATATTCCAATTTCTAATAATACCTGAAATTATTGTAAATGGCCAACCAGTTAAGAACATCCATCCAATACACACCACCAGCCACCCGGGGACAAATATAGTGCCACTGAAGAGACCAAGAGAAAACTAATAATATTTATCAAAGCATTGTCACCCAAACTGAAAGCTCTCACTCCGGTTCTCACATGAGCTTTAATGCAACCATTGAAGTTTAGCGCCACGGACCACCACGTTCCAAGTGTCTGATGAATTATTATAATCAAACGTAAACTTGAAAGTGCTAGATAGATGCCTGCCAAAATGACGAGAAAGTAACAATAAAAAAGTAGTTACCAAAAATGAAGTTTTTAGATTTTTATAATTAATTATCATGTGATCACAAAGTTAATTGATAAAAAGTAAAATAACTTCGAACTTTTTAAAATATTAGCCAGTTATTTTCATTTAGATCTGTTTGGATGGCATGAGAAATCAAATTTACAAGCTCCAAAATTCAATGGTAAACAAGATGGAGTTTGGCTAACATTTTAGCTTCCTATAATCAGCTTTAGAATATACGATACCTAGCTTCATTCTTCTTTTTTTCAACACAACTGAAGGTTCGTACGAAAAGAGAATGAATTTATTATTTGACATCTTTATTGTGATTATCAATTCCGGATAGCTGTGCATCGCAACTAGTCTTATAAAAGCTATTGTGAGATGGCCGCTATTCGGAATTTCTTAAACATAATAAATAATTAATACGGTATAAATAAATGCTGAAAGATTAAAACAATACTCAATTCATAAATTAGAAATAATTAAATCCATAGGTCTTATGCAAAACATAAATGTAAATAACAAAAGAAAGTAAAAAAAACAAACAAGGTTAAGCATCAGAGGTTTAAAGTAACTACCAACGGTTTATTATGTAGGAGATCCAGGGTTCGATCCCTACTACTAACAAACTTCTCCTTCCCTTGACAAATTACCACTAACATTTCAAAGTAAAAAAATGGCCATTAAAACAAGGCTTTTCTTTTGGAAGCATTTAGCAGCCGCAAACATCTGTAATATTGGTCGCATAGTGGACGCTACCGCCGCCAGTGGCAGAGCTTTGTTGGGAGAAAGGATGGTCATGGCACCCCCAAAGTTTTTAATATATACTATGCTATTCGTGTTATATGATATAATACGCGCTTCGGCGTAGTGGCCAAGGACACTTTTGACCTATGATGACACGAGATTGAACCCCGGTGATCTTGGTTTTGCATCTTTTTTATTTTCCTTTTCCGAGAATAAAACTCCATCAAAATGGAAATACTTAGGTTTGAACTCCAATACTTGAAGGGAAAACAAAGGGTCATAACCACTATTATGCCAACACAAAATTTTAATCATAATTGCTATAAATGCTGTAATTATATCTATGCATATTTCGACCCCCTCATATAACGAGGCCATGCTCCACCATTGACAGCCGCTATAGCAAACCACTCCATTACCAACTCGCAATAGTGGCCACTGGCCGCTGCTATAGCACGCTGTTGAATACATAGATCTCTAAAACTCAAACAATCCAATGCTTATTGGAAAGGGGAACTACAAAATTTTAGAGTTTAAAAGATATTTTTAGAAGCTTTGATTTGATTTATGTTAAGTGAATTTCCATAAGAGTAGTCTAATTGGAATAAAACTTAATGCAATTTTAAAATGTTGCGGCTGATTTTCTGTTTGAAATTGCAAAGTTAATTGCCTACCACTTAAGTAATTGAGATCATCTGCATATATTGGATAAAAACTAATAGGGCTTAAAGGCGGAATATCCTATCGTCAATAAAAAGATGAATTCTGTAGCACCATTATGTAACTACCTTAGTTAGCTAGAGTTCTATAAATAGAGAGAGCAAATTTGGTATTATACATTCAAGAAGATTTATAAAGCTTTGGGAAAGGAAAGTCTAAATTAGACCTGGGAAAGGAAAGTCTAAATTAGACCTGAGAAAGGAAAGTCTTTTTATGGAGCTTTGGGAAATCTGGAACAATGCAATACGGAAGCTTGGTAGAAGACCAAGGATGCTTTACCATTCATGTAAAATCAAATCGGGGCTTGTTGCTTCTCACCATTAGAATCTGAATAATTGAAAGAATACGTATGGTTTTAGACATGTTAGCATGTTGCCTACACGACTTAATTTAGTAAGAATGACTACCCAAAACCCAATCAGCCATGATCACTAAAAATTGCAATGGCTTCAATAATTTTAACTAATGAAATATGATCCTGTAGGTTCAATTTCAAAAATAAATTGTGCCAAAAATGAAAACATTTCAGCATTACAAAATAATTTACAGGTTTTTCTTTATTTGTAGAGGATCTCTACTGTCGCATGTCCTGGTTGATACACTACAAAATCTACGGGTATTGTCTCAACAAGCCCAAACAACCTAAGCCAAGTTTCCACCAACTTTTCTATGATAGATGCTACACCAACTTTCTCTAATATCATTTATAACCTAGTCTTGTCTAGTCTTACCAATGTCATACTTCCGACACACTATCCTCGTCTCGGCTACACTTATTTTATTTTTGTGTTGGTTCTTTACCGCCAAACACTCTGACCCATACAACATTTCCGGTTTTACAAATATAAGACAAAATTTTCCCTTCAACTTGAGTGATACTTTTGGTATCACGTAAAACACTTGAGAACCTGCTCTATCTCAACCACCCCACTTGAATTCGATGGTTTACAACTTCTACTTTTTCGCTGTTTGATACTGTGGACCCAAGGTATTCAAACTGCGTAATTTGTAGTATGACATGACATGGTCTCCAACTTTCATCTCTAAGAATGCTTTGCCTTGTACAAAAATTGCATTCCACATAAAATCTAATAAAGAATCGATAAGTCCTATTGAATTGGAAAGAAGAAATTGAAGAAGAAATCATGAAACTTTGTTTGAAGTACAAATCATGATTTGTTCATCACAATTATTGTTTAGAAGAGTGAAAGGAAAATGAAGCAATATATGAAATAATGAGCACCATGGAAAGAAGTGTGAATATCTCAATTGCTTGCTCGCCCTCATCACTCAAGATTTTGACACCTCCTGCTGCATCTACGTTAAACGGAAGCAAGATGTTTTTCTTTTCCTTGTACCGATAGGTGTACTCATTGTTTTATGCTAGGTTGAATAAATGTACGATTGAGTTTTTCTGGCTACCTTTTGTTAGTCACAAAACCTTTTGTTAGTCGCAAAACCTTTTGTTTAATGAGTGAGTTGCTGGCAACGAATTTGTTGCCACTAAATAGTTTCCCCTAAAAGGAAATTTTGTTAAAATGATATTTTGGGATCACATGGAAGATGACACTTGCACTTTTAATGGGTAAACATGAGACACATTATTAAAGGAGTCACTCATGTAACATTGTGGGGTTTATTAAGTAAGCTCACATGAGCTTACTGTAGGATTAATGTACACTAGTATAGCCTTGTAACAAACGGTTAGTTACAGTTAGAATAGATCTAACAGATTGTAACTAACTGACTGACAAGTGTTAGTCAGCCCTAGGTCTTACCTGCTACAACTAACAATCAATAAAATCACAATTCAGTTTTCTCCATTAATTCCAAGAGAATCATGGCCAATATTCAAAACTCTAACACACATTGTGACAAATAAACAAATAATGAGAAACAAAGAAGAGCAACATCCGACCATAGATCACTAGATCTTGAGCAACTGCAACATTATTCCTAATATACTGAAATGATCTTGAAAACAGTGCACTTAAATTATAAAAAAGATTTGGAGACATTCACCTGCTTCTAAACAAACAGGAGTAGAGTTGTAAAACAGAACAACTATTAAGCAGTGAGTTGCTTCAAATGTTTTCGAAGAAACCTAAACGAACGACATCAACAGGGCCATAAATGTCTAGTACAAAACGAGTACGGTAACTGATGCGACTGTAGCTCCAAATAAGCTTCCTACTTCCTTTTCTCCCACCATCCCAGAATGTACCATTAATTAGGGTTGAAGTGCCTGAAGCTAGGATTGTAGATCCATAATTTAAAAATTACACTGTTAGACATGAGAGTGAAACTGCAAAATACAATAATAAAGAAACAAAAACACAAGACATAAAAAATGCAAAATTTTCTAAAATGTCCTCATTTTTCTCAGTGAATAATAAAGAAATTAGCTTGACCAGGAATGCAAGCTTATGTCATCGGTGACACACGAGTTGTGTAATAAAAAAATGATTGTATAGCAATATCATTATCATTATAAGGTATAAAAGTAAAATAATTTCCAATACCTAAATTAGTGTTGAAATACTTGATCTGATGTGAAAAAATTCAGATCAAGAAGCATATACTATATATTAATTTACAAAACATTCTTATTTATGGACAGTTAAAACATACCGAAAACATAATTCTAAACAAGGCAATAAATCATTCGGTTCAATATATTATTTGTAAGAAAGTTTTGAAGTAAATGGAATTAATAATACAAAAACTGAACTTCCTTTTGGAAGAAACACCTTCAAGCTAATGATCTTAAAAATGTCATCTAGCTTCTTATAAATAAAAAATAAAAACAAATTCATTTGATTCAAAGATTGTCAAGCCTTAAACCATATCAACAAGGCCATCAAATAGAAAAGATTGGTAACTTATAGTAAACATGTCATGATTCGACACAAATTCAAAAAGTATATAGTCTATAAGAGGCACTTACTTCCAAAATGTCAGAAAACAAGCTTTCGACATGGATCTTAGCGGAGAACCATTGTATTTCATCGGTAATTCTAGTTCGCACTGCTCTATTGTCTCTTAAATTATATAGAATTGCCTGCCTTTCTTGTTTGTTAGCCAATATCAGTGTATTGGCATGATCAGATAGGTGCAATGGCAACCATTGAGAATATTGCAAGTCAACAACGTCATGATGCATACTCTGAAGATCCTGGTAACTAATTCTAAGAAGTTGAGTCCAAGACTCTTCAACTCCAAATTCTTCCATCTTCCATATAACAAAATCAGTTCTCTTATCATCATGAGAAAAGCAAAGACAGTCCATCAATATACATATAGATGGCTCTACAGGTGACAATGCATCAAAACCAAAAGGAGGCATCAACTGTCTGTAGGTCTCTGTTCCCAGATCAAGTGAAATAATCACAAACTGCCTAACATTAATGCTCTTCCAACCATAAGCACCATTAGATTGAAAGCTATAGCGAAGAGCTAACCAATTAAGACTACCACTCAAATACACACCATCATTCACACCAGGATTAGTATAGCGGAAAGGAAGAGAAACAGCAGGAAAACTTTGAATAGCTCTCCAATTATTATCACCCACACTTAAAACTCGCACATTAGTTCTATTTGCAGCTTCATCCAAAATTGACAACACAATCTTATAAGTCTCCGATGAATTATCATAACCAAACGCAAACTTAAAATGAGTATACAGGCCCAACATATGATCCCACATGTACCCTAATTTTTGGGACATTTTACCTGTGGCTGGGTTCCAGAAACGGAACCAGATCTGTCTGTATTCAGAGAGGCAAGAATAACCAAGCAAACAAAGCCATCCATTGCAAGAACCAATAACAAAGCGGCACTCCTTGTCCCTTAATCGATAATGAGGGTTATTTGGAAGGGTGATCAATGGGTTCTCGACCAACCGACGTACAGAGAAGGGTACAACATTGTTATCCCCATCAAGGTGGGATTTACTCAAAAATAGAGTCAGTTGAGGGTTACGCGCAGATCGCTTAAAGTGAAGTTTCACAAATTTAGGATCAGAAACAATAGAATTCCAAAACTTGGATACGCATCTCATTTGCATAAGAGTTTTTACATCGGCAAAGGAAAGAGCTTCAGTAATAAGTTCATCAGGGAGGCTTACCGAAGAATCTTCGTCCGGCTGGGCCCGCGATTTAGCTGGAGGATCACTCATTGGAGCTGTGCTTTCATGAAATCAGTCTCTATTGAATATAATTGAAACCCTAAAATAAGGCCAAAAAAATCAGTACCTATTGAATACAATTGAAACCCTAAACGATTGAATTCAAATCTGTAATTAACGAGAAATACGAGGATCTATGAAATTAAAATTGAAGAAATAAATTTATTCACCGTTTTTGAAGGAGGCGCTCCGATACAGGTGGATGAAGGTTAGGTGGCGAAGCGGTGGTGGTGGTGGTGGTGGTGGCGGCGGCGGCGAAGCGGCCGTGATAGTGGTGGCGGCTGCGTAGAGAGGAAATCCTTATACTTTTTGTTACAAAAGGGAGAAAACCCTTAGCCCAGTCAGAAAAACATTTTCTTTTGGTGCATATTTCAGTATAAACATTTTCACCAAAACAAAATAGTTTTAATTTAACATTCATAAGGGTTAAAAAATTATTTTATAGATTTTTTTTAAATTGTTTTAAATAAATAAAAACTAAAGAGAATATTTTTAGCACCCTTTGAATTTAGTCATAATATTTTTATAATTTAATTTTTAAAATATTAAAAATTTCAATTAATCTATAGTTATAGTAAAGATATGAATAAAAGACTAAAATTTATATAATTATACTAAAGGTATGGATATCAGACTAAAATTTATAGATATTAAAGAATTTATAATAAAATAAAAATTTTAATTAAAATACACAAGTTAGTGAATCATAGCTGTTAAATTTTTATAGATATTTAATTTTTTCTTTAATCACATATAAAATATCACTTGTAAATAGTTGTGATGTATTAATTATGTAAATTATTTTACACCGATAGTGATAACAATTATTTTCTAAAATAAATTATATTTGATAATTTCATTTTTCAAAGCTGCTTCAGAGAATAAAAAAATTTATTTACTATATTTTCTATTTTAGTTTTAATTTAACATTCATAAGGGTTAAAAAATTATTTTATATATTATTTTTTAAATTGTTTTAAATAAAAAAATTAAAGAGAATATTTTTAGCACCCTTTAAATTTAGTCATAATATTATTTTAGTTTAATTTTAAAAATATTAAAAATTTAAATTAATCTATAGTTATAGTAAAGATATGAATAAGAGACTATAACTAAAGATATTGATACGAGACTAAAATTTATGGATATCAAAGAATTTGCAATAAAATAAAAATTTTAATTAAAATACACTAACAATGTAAAGAAGTTTTATACCGTCACTAAATCATAAATCATAGCTGTTAAATTTGTATAGATGTTTGACTTTTTCTTTAATCACATATAAAATACCACTTGTAAATATTTGTGATGTACTGATTGTGTAAATTATTTTACACTGACAATGCATAACAATTATTTTCTAAAATAAAATATATTTAATAATTTTATTTTTCAAAGTTGTTTTAGAGAATAAAAAAAAAAAATATATATATATATATATATATATATATATATATATATATATATATATATATATATATATATATATATATATATATATATATATATATATATATATATATATATATATATATATATATATATATATATATATATATAATATTTCTAAGTTGTTTTGTGAATATTTGGTGTTCATTTCCTTCAAATAGGTTTGGAAAATCTCATATTTTAATGATAAAGTTCATGTTTTGATCATGCATGTGTTTCAAACTTGTGTTGATCGTTGGAAAAGAAAATGAAAATGATACAAATTGCTTGGGATACTTGTGATTTTCGTGTTTCATCTTCAAGTTCATTACAATGAACATCAGAACTAAAAGAACTTGTGATTTCTTGGAATACTTTTGATAAGTGTTACTTTATGTTACTTTATTTAGTTCATTGTAAGATTTTTAGTTCTGATGTTTTAATTTCAGTTCTGTGAAGAATCATGTCAAGACCACCCATTTTAATTAGTGACTTGAAGCCTGAAAATAATGTCTAGAAATTGGCTATTGGTGTGGTTGATTTATGGTACGTTAAGAAGCGTAACAGACAACAACATCTTGAAGCTATTATACAAGATTCAAAGGTTATTTTTTGTTGCATTGACTTTGTTGAAAAACTCATTTGTCAACTTGATATTTTTTGTATTCATTGCCTTGCCATGTTTTAATAAAATAGGGTGACCAGATACATGTTGTAACCCGGTCCCGCAAATTTGAAATGTGGAACAAGGTCATACAGGAAAATGATACATATTAGGTTTATAATGGAGAACCTTTTATCAATGACCTACCCTTAAAATTTTGTGACAACAACTACAACCATTTTTGGAATCGTGCCACCACTGTCACACCCACAGATATCCTAGAGATTCCACAACACACATTCAAATTTAAGTCCTTTCAAGATTTATTAAATGGAGATTTTGTAGTTGATCGCTTATACGGTGACTTATGTTTTTCTCTTTTGTTCATAATGTCGTGTTTTTGTCAATCACCATGTTGACTTTCTATTCATCATTAAGTAGATGTGATTGGTGTTATTCAGCAAGTTGTTAGGACTCAACTTCTGGGAGCTGGGAAAAAGGCTTGTGCAAACCTAATTGTGTCAGATGAATGGTTTAATACACTATATTTAGTCTTTATTTCGCGTCAATCTTTTGTGTTTACAATTATTAACATATTAATCATTGTTTATTTTGTCTTAATAGTGGAGCTGAAATTGATTTTACTATATGGGAGTCATACGCGACACAATTTATGCTATACAATGATGACAATGGACAGCTGGTCATCATACTCACTCATGCTTGGTGTCGGCAAAGCTCGTGTACTTACCATTATTGCTTTTGCTAATGTTGCTTCATAATTGTTAGGATTTCATTTGCTATGACATTTTATTATTTCTGTAAGTTCTATGGTTTTTAGTTTGGCAACAATTTTGTTAAAACAAGTTACAACAAGATGTTGAGATAAATGTTTTGACAAGTCAGTCAGACAGCATGTTCAACATGATGTTGGGACATGTGGCAGGACATGATATACTAGAAGATCAGGTTTGGGATGATTTGGAATTTAAAGTGTGAGATTTGATTGTATTTTAATTCACACAGTGTCACAATCCAAGGAGGGATATTTTAGGAACTTCTGTCTAGACAAATTTTCATGTTTTTCATAAAAAGGATCTTGGAGATTGTCATACCCTAAATTTTCCCATCTTTTTTTTTGTTGATCAAAGGCATTGGTACAAACCATCTGAGGGTTGTCAAGGAATTTTGAGGCTTTATCATTGGTAGAGGCACGAGGTAGAAGTTTGTTGAGCACCTCAGAGGTCATGGTGGAGTTGGAATGATCACCCAATTCATCTGCACAATGCCCAAGCAAGAAGGGTGAAATTAGGGTTTCAATTTTAATCAGGATAAATTTGTTTGTGAGGTCAATAATTATTTCCATGGTCTCTCATATGTCCTGAGGTGTTTGGGGATGGGAGATTACCCATCAATTTTAATCAGAAGGGCTTCAATTGATCAATCAATTGAAAATCAGGAGATTTGGGGAAAAGTCAACTGTGCAGTGAAAAAGTCAACTCCTGACTTTTTGAGGTCAAGATCATGATCCTTGAGTTCAATATGACCAATGGATGGAATTTGATCAAGAAAAGTCAAGGGAATCATGAAAAAATCAAGAATTGTTGAAAGTTTCCATTTTAAGGAAATTAGGGTTTTAGAACTTTCTATTTATGGAAAGTTTTATGTTTGGAACAACCATATTCAAAGTCATATTTCTTCCTGATCAAGGTTTCAAATGAACTTGGATCAAACATCAAAGATGTTCCTTGTATTTCAAGCTTTCTTTTGAGTACCAATTCATAATCATGTGATACTTGGAGCTCAAGTTATGATCAATCAAAGTTGAGGTTTTCAATGGTTTCAACATTGCCAAGACTGGACAGATTTTTGAACTCACTTTGCAAGCCAAATTTTTATCAAGTTCTTGAAGTCAGATGGAACTTTGTCCCAAATGAAAGTTGTAGAGCATATTACAAGCTTTCCAAAGAGTTCAAGAAGTCCTTAATATGATTTGTGAAGCTCAAGTTATGGATGCGCAAAGTTGAGGAAAAATAAGCCAAATCTATAACTTAGAATTTTTCTAAGTTATTTCTGGATAGCTTTCATGACATGATTTTTAACATCATTTTTCATGGTCTTCTAATCCTCAAATCAAGATGACCCCAACATGAAATGTGTTCTACTTCATGCCCTCTTTCGTTTGAGCATGAGTTCTAGCTAAATTGATCCTTGTACACAAAGATATTATTGCTCAAAGTTAATGTTTTGAACTTGTTTCAAGGAGTGAAACATGTAGCATTTGTGCTTGCTGATATTTTTATGATATTGATCTGCTCATGTCTCATTTCCATGTGCATGGGATGCTGTATTGGGAGCCACCAAACATTTCCCAAAATGAACCAACACAAGCTTCTACCATTTTTGCCCCATTTTTGAATCCTTAGCCAAAGCAAGTAAAAGACAAACAGCTCCTACAAATCTGCTCTTTGCAGCCCAGCTAGGTCATTTTCTTCATCCACAAGCAACCTAGAATGAGATAAGAGAATGCAGCTGGTTGATGGATCTTGAAGATCAACCATTGATTCAAAAAAACCACCATGGAATGCAAATCTGGCCATTCAATCTTTACCATGGTGAAAACCCCCCAAACCTGATTTGATTCCATATTTAAGACCAAATATCAGTCAACACAAACCCTAGCCACCAGTTTGCATTGAGAAACCATAAAACTCTTATTTTGTGAACCATTTTAAACCCTCAAAAAACCTAAAAATCTGTCTGGGGTAGTTAGCTTGCTAAAACCATTTCCATACATAAAAACTCACCACAAACCATCTTCACAACCCACACATGATCTTTGGAAGGTGTTCAAAACATTAAACCAGTCAAAAATGTAACACCCCCTTTCTATACCCCCAAATAATGCAATTAATCATTTAGGCACGTAATCAATATATCATCAGAGTAAATTCATAAT